CTTTGTAATAGCAAAATGTTGGTTTTATCTGTAGTTCTGCTTTTGGTCAGCAGTAACAGAAATTTTCAAGGCTCATATCTTTATGCCTTAAGGAGTACACAGCGTTATCATCAAGGGTCTTCTCCCTTGCTAGTTCTCTTTTTCTTTTTGTTTTGTTTACTGATATTTCACAGTAAACCCTTGCAGTTATCATCAAGTGTTCAGGCCACGATAACAAAATTTTGGCAAAGCTTATACTCTATGTTTCTCTCTTTTAAAAGCAATGAAAGATTTGTTTAACTGAATACAGTTGACATTTCTTTTATCCCGTCAATGCATTATACACTTATAAATTCAGGTCAGAAATAAAAAGTAGCTCCAGATAAACTTTCATTATATTAGATAGATAGCTTTTCTAACCCCTGCCCCATATTATCTCAGATACTGTTATTGCTTTCCCTTTAAATTGATCATTCTTCTTTCTGTTTTTAAAAACATTATTCATATTTGTATTTTGGAACCATTTGCCTTGCAGCAGTGCTGCGAGTGCTTGTGTTTTTATTTCATCCAGGCAAAAGAGTGAAGGTAAGAGGAAAAGGAGAAGTGGAAGGAATGCTGAAAATTCAGCTGAGGTGTTACCCAAGGTCCTATAATATAATATAATGCGGAGAATCACGCATACTCCTTGTTGCGCTGATTTTGGGAGGAATACAGGATTTTGTATGCTATATTGGATTCTGACACTGCACCCACCATATGAGCCATTTTTAGCATTATTATTATTGTTTAAAGTTCACATATGCCAGAATTTACACCCTGCAATGATTAAAGCTCTGCCCAGCAAACAAAATATTAATTTTCAGTGGTGCTGGAGCCTGGTGAATACCAACGACTCCATCAAAAATGTGCATCTTTGGAAATGGGACAAACACGGAGAAAAACCTTTTATGAGAACATGGGGGTTTATGTTTTCTGAAGCTGAGTTATTTTTGACTATTGTTGGGATAATGGTTGGTTCACTCCTAAAATATATTTTAGTTACAGTTTATTCATTACTTTTCAGCGGAGTGCACACAGTACTGCTGTTCGATTTATCACTTTCCTGTGTTCCTAGCTGTTTGATATCTCTTTTTCACAATTACATATTTGGGAAACTGGAATATCATACAGCAGCGAAAGGTAGCTGGCAAAGCTGAAGAGGAAGGCAGTATCGGTGACTACCAGGTCTCTCTCCAGCCCATTATAGTGGGATTTCAAAGCATGCACTCCCACCTCGTGGCCCTTCCAGTTGGTATGGTGTGTGTTGAGTGGAGTGAGACGTTCCAGTCTCTACACATTATCAGACGTTTTTGGCAATTAATGTAAAACTAAGAAACAAGATGTGTAAGAAAGGTTACGTTCACATACATAGCCCTAATTTTTGTCAGCCATTAGTTCCTGTTTAGAATTGAACTTGAAGATTAATTTGTGTTTCGTTTGGTTTTTTTTTTTCTTTATTAGACGTGTGTTGTCCAAAACGTATAGCTTTCAAGTTTGTGGAATCCAGCCCATATTAAAATAAATGGGAATTTGCAGTGGCAGCACCTACGATGCCCAGAGTGCAACTCACTGGCTTGATGAGAGCCACGAGGGTGTCAGTGGGCAGTGCCTCTGCACCACGCTCTTCGTAGGTACTGCTCGAGGCATCTGCTTTCTTTTGGCCAGCGTCTGGAAGGGAAGCTGAGTGAGATGGACCTTCCCACCCACTCTAGCTGTTCCTGGCTTTTTTTTTTTTTTTTTCACTTCAGGCATCTGCAAATATTTCTGCATGATAAATGCACACCTTAGAGATGCCTTTTCTATCCACTGATTCTGAGGAGAGTCTCCATGTCTACGTTAGATCAGAGAAATTCAAGGAACACTAAGAATTTTTTTTACAAGAGATGAGAGTTTGTTTTTCAGCAGATGGCAGTTCCTTTTGAGAAAGAAGCAGCATATTTTTATGCTGCAGGTTTTCTTCAGGATTTAGAAAAACAGTGCTCTGGCAAGTATCCTTCACCCAACCCATCCTTCTCTCCAAAGTCTGGACTTCTGTGAAAAGCTACCCTGGTTTTTAACTTCTGAGCAGGAAGCCATGCAGAAAGGGATTCAACATTTTTATTTCCCTAAGCAGACTTCCCAGCTTACTTATGTATCTGCCAGTGGAGTAAGGGGCGGGAATGGCATCTTCCTTGGAGGCTCCTCTTTAACACTGGCTGTACTCAGAGATAAGCTGAGCTTCCCTCTGTAACCCCATGATATTTCCCTATTCCACAGTCCTGTCATCAAGGTCATATTTAAGCCTGAGCAGTGTCACGAGAAAGCTCAGCCTACCACACTATTTCTGATTCCTGTGTTCATTACTTTGCAACTAGACAGGTATCTTTGTGTCTTTCATATAATTAGCACTGTGAAGGTTATCAAGAACAATATTAATGAAAGTTAAATAAATACCCTTTTTCATTGAAAAAGTTAGTTATTAAGAAGTTAATCAAGAAATTAATCAGAGTATACTAGAATTTGTAATCAAATCTCAGTAAAGTTCTGATTCCAAGTCCTGGTCTAACAAGATTTATTTAGATATAGAAAAGTAAGCTAAATGTGAAGTCTCGTGTTTTGGGTGCTGATTGCCCCCTGGCATAAGAGCAGCCTCCAAAAGATAAGTCGAAACTGTAATGAACAGAAAATGTGTTTCCAGTGCAGGCTGGCAAACCTGATTTTGCAAATGGTGAGCTAGCACCATGTTTTCTCCTATCAGCTTGAAGAGGCCAGGGTTGAATTTGAATTGCTTGCCTGAACTGAAGTCCAAGTCACATGGCTGTCACTGCTGTCCTGTTTCCAATTACTCAACTTGTATTAGCCAGCCTGAATGAAGACTGTGCTTTTCTGCAGTGTATGCATAACCTTATGTTGATGCTAAACCAGAAATAGCTGAGACCGAAGGACATTATTTCTCACCTTCATTTCCTGAGGCCAAAGCCTTTTTCTGGTTGCTCAGGCGTATGCTGCTAGTTGCTGAGCTTTCTCTTGTAACACTGGGAGCTGCTGCTTAATTTCCTGTAACAATTTTCCTGGCTTGGTTATGCTGACTGTGGGAACTATCTGCAAAGAATTGCTGCTACTGAAATTTCTACCACTATCTTTCTTTCTGTAGTGATATGAGGCTTTCATGCCTGCATTAGTTTCTGCAGTTAATTAATCTAAGTCTTTCTAATACTTACTGTGGTAAGGATAGAAAAGCAATAAACAGTGCAGATAAGGGATGAAATGGTTTAATCTCATTAATTAACAAAATAGAGAGTATCCAGGTACAAATATTACTCCTCTTCTAATCATTGGGAGTTGGACGAGACACATAGAGCCAAGAAAATATGTCTCAGCTATAAATGAAGGTATAGTTCAGTTAGTGTGGGTTTTTTCTTTTTCTTTCCTGGTTTTAATAGCAACTTCACATCATAATTAGGAGGATGAAATTCCTGCCAGCCAAGTACATAGTTTGGACAGATTAAAGGGAAAAGGTATGAGAAATGATAATTGCTTTGTGCTCATCAGACTTCTATTGAAAATCTGACAGGATAATTACAAAATACCTGCCTTGCAGAATGTCTAGGCACATTTTTAAAGAGCTATTTAAAGTTGTTCGTTTACAGTCTGTCTGAAAAGAAAAGTTTTTTCCCCCTTTTTGAAGTAGTTCATTACCATTTAGATATGTGGTACATGTTCAAATATAGACCTTATTCTCATGTGCACGCCTGGCTGCATTCCACTGCCCACCCCCAAAGAAAATTGCCCATAATTTTTTGAATTACCCCACATACTTCACCCACATACTCACCCTTAACTTTCAGCAGAACATTATTTCACCTGATGGAAACTGTAACCTTGTTGCTTTCAACAGTCTGAATCATAGTCATAGATAAATTAGTGGAGAGAGAAATGTTCCAGTGGACTACATAAAACTCTGTTTTGACTGACAGTAAAAAGTTGTTTTACTTCCAGCATATTTTCGTCTCATCACATGATTTTTCGTCACCTGCTTTTGAAACTTGAAAATGACACTCACCAAATTGCCAATTTTCCAAGAATATTCTAGACATAGGTGCCAAAACCCTACTGATTTTGCTGAGAAGGGAAAGACCCCGAAAGCCTGACTTTCTGCTAAAGTTCACCATATGAGGTCATTTGGATCACAGGGCCACAGACACCTGCAGAAGAGTTGCTCTCAGCACCTGGTAGGCAGGGCTAGAGTTAGTGCAGGCTTTCTGGGGAAGGATGAAGAGACCTTGGTGAGTAGTGGACTTGTAACAGGTGAAGTAAAGCCCGCTAATACCAGTTGTTTCAAGTTCCTGCAATTCAATGTGAGTCATCCAGTATCGTTATTGTATACACTTGAACAGGGATGACCAACGTCCTAGCTACGAGAGCTAAATTTCCCTGTGTGTAGGTACTGTAAGCAATATTTCATGATCCCCTGCTTTGTTGGATCGTGCAGGTCACAAATCAGCTAACCAGCGTGTACCAAGTGAGTAGCTTGCAGACTGGCCAGCTGGTTCTGGCAACCAGGGCAGGCTTTGAGTAACCACCTTTCCCATGGATGCCAAGACTGTTGTGAGACCACAGGTACACTTTTCATATGACAGGGACACCTGAATTGTGGTTATGTCAGGAACCAGGACATGGGGACCCCAGAAAGGATGACCATAGATGAACTGCCTTGCTATAGGTAGCTGTAGTCAACTAACTGGTGTATTTATGTAATTTCCCAAAGCGATGCTTTGGGCCCATCGCTATAAGATTAATTATTGTGATATTTAAAGCTTACACTTTATATGTTTATATAGAGATAAAAGAATAAAGTAAGTGCTGGGTGTATAATTAATTCTATATCATGTTCATTGGTACATTGAACTACATTGTTTCACAAGAAATGCACAGTAGATTGTACAACAGAGCATTTTTTTATAGAAATCTAATTTCTCTCTTCCTTCTTTTTCTTTGAACAGTTTATGAAGAACCAGAAGACCCCAGTAACAGATCATTTTTTTCAGAAATTATCTCTTCAGTGTCAGATGTCAAATTCAGTCACAGTGGTAGATACATGCTAACAAGAGATTACCTCACCGTCAAGGTTTGGGATCTGAACATGGAAACAAAGCCCGTAGAAACGTACCAGGTAGGTATCTCCTGCGTCTTGATGCAACAATATAAGAGCATCTCTGTTCAAAAAATGTATGTTTTCCTCAAGTTCTCATTGCTTGGTCTGAGAAGCGGCTAGCTAAGAGAGCTGCTAATCAAGGTGGTTAAAAACCTTATTGTGGCGTCCTTGTAGTTGCAAAAGGGCAATTGCAGCATCAGTAAGGAAGTGTAATGCGTGGGGAGTCAGGGTAACACTTGCTGTGGATTGGGCTCTTGAAAGAAACCATGCTTCTAAGAAGGGAAATAATCTCTTCACTTTGGCATCTGTTTTCAAATGATGTATTTCACTATTAACATTTAAAAGAAACTGAGGAAAGGATTTTGTGAGTTGCTTAGCATTCTGCTCCTGCTGGGACTGCTGAGAGTTTACACCTTTGTCATTTCAAAACTTTTTTTTTAAAACTTCATCTGTGCATTTCTCCCTTGTGCCTAGTTCTAGAAGTGATTAGTGTTAAACCCTAACATCACCACTGACACAGCAGTTCGCGAATGCCAGACAGACACATCTGGTTGCCTCAATTCACTGCGATATTATCCAGACAAAATGCCAGTGGCTCCAGCCAGCGCTGAGTTTGTACTCTGACATCTGTTCTGTTTGGCAATAGAGGGCTGAGCTTACATTTTTTGACTCTGCCCTGAAGAAGGAAAATACATCTGTGACACAGAAGCTGCTTGTTATGAAATGCAATGAGAAAAAGCTGTTAAGCTACCACAGAAGAGTATGCAAAGTAGGAAAAATGTCATTCATCTGGCTCATACTGCTTACGTAGAGACAGTCCTACGACACTGCTGGAACAACCCCTCGTTTTCTGCGTCTGTGTGATGGCAGATGGGGTACGGGAGTTCACAGTAACTATCATTGAGATTGGTTTTAAAATAACATGTAATGAGAGTTTGGTAGCAAGACTTGTCAAAACAACCAACAGTTGACATTGATAACATCGGAGGTGTTTATTAGGTAGTGTTTAGTAGGCAAAGTGGGCCCCAGTGTTTTCCAACGCACCCGTTACATGTTGGTAGATACTCTTCAGTGTGTCGCGTTAGCATTGGAAAGTCTGAGCCTGTATACCTTTAAAACCACAGAATTGATTTTGCTCTGAAAATGGCAGTACTTGTAATGCTAAATGTGTTAGAAATGTTGATGTGCTGTGAAAATGAAGTGGGAGGGTAAGGGTGAGACTGTGTTTTATATAACAGAAGCATATTTTAGATTTTAGGAACTTAAGTAATATATTATTGTATACTTATGCTAATGGAGTAGGCAACCTTGTCCCTGGAGAGGAATCATTGGTCAAGCCAACCTGTTTGTCTTGACTTTGACATCTGCTTTTATTTCCTCATGTCGGTAGCTGTGAAACAAGCTGGCTGCCTTTAAATCAGTCTGACACCCAACAGTGGGGCCAATTAAAAAGTTATATTTCTCCATGCTAAGATGTGGAAAATGAGTATAATGTAATTTTTTCAGTACTGATTATTGCAATCAGAAGCTTATTAGAAAAAAAAAATACAACAACAAAACCCCTGCAAATATAACAGTGTTCTTGCTGCCTTACTTTAACCTATGGATTGCATTTCGTTTTCAAATACTTATCCAGTGCCTTGTAAAGAGTATACAGATGCATTGCTGAGCATTGCAGCGGACTAAAGGAAAACCTGGAACTCAGGGGCCTTAGGAAGCCAATAGCACAGGACTGCATAGGATTCACACAGTCCAGCTGCTTTGGGCAACCTTTCATGTTTTTCAACTGCAGAGAGCAGAGAATTCTGTTCTTAAGAAAAAATGGTTTGAATTACTCTCTTAAGTAATTTGTCTTAGAAGTATCTCTCTCTCTCACATATAAACTTGGAAATCTCTCAAAAAGTTTTTTGTGGTGGATCACAAAGGCAACAAATAAACCTAACATTTTTAGTTATGTATCCACATAATTATGATGACATGTATATCATTAAAAGATTAAAAGATATTAATTAAAAGATTGAATTTCTCATTTCATCCACTGCATGGTAGCCACTTAGATATTGCCTAGCTGAAAGACTCATGAAGAGGGTCACAACAGGAGATTTCCCCACAGGGTTGTAAAAAAGAGCAAAGCCTATGGCTGTTCTGCTTCATTATCAGGTTACAATTTTAGTATCACAAAAAAAATCAAATTCTTCATGCAAGTTTTTTTCCTTATCAATGCTGTGGCTAAAAGAATGCTACTGCATAGAGCAGCCTCGCTGACACACTTTACCTGCTGACAGAGATTCAACGTGGTAGTCTCCTGTTTATGCTTCACATAAAAGAAAAAAGGGCAGAGTTATGGTGCACTGGACAGCACTAAAAGAGCTACACAGTGGAACGGCCAGTGCTTGAAGGTTGCAAGGCAGCCGTGCCTAACGGGATACTCTTTTGATGCTGCCCAGGTGAATTACCCAAGCAGAACCGTACCAGCAGCAACCAGAGGTGAACACATTCATAGCTAATAATAGCTTGACCGACTTTTGGCAACGTCTGTTGCACGGGGATTTGAACTAGTGTATCACTTACCAGTGCAATTCCTGATTGTGACTGTTCAGTCCCAGTGAAATAGCTCCCCATGTAGTCATGTTGCTGTGTTAGTCTGGAGCACAGAATTCCTAGATAATTCCATGAAGGTCTGACCTAAAACAGAGCATTGAAGAAAAGGAGAATGCCTTTTGTAATTAGTTAGGAATGAATTTGGTCGGGATTCAAGTACTAATCACATGTGGTAAGTACAATATGTAACAGACAAGGCAAATCTGATTTTACCCTCAATTGATAGTGGCAGATGAACATGTGAACAAGGTAAAAATTAAGTGTTTCTTCCAGTTAGTTTTTCATAGTCATTCTGGGGATCTGAATGTGGTCAAATGTGGTAAAGGGTCCACATGAAGAGCAAGCTGGTTGTTCAGGGCAGTAGTGCAAGTTTGCAGGCAAAGTCAGTCACGAAAAAGGAGCTGAGACCTTGAAGAGATCAGTAAGAAATCTGAGAGAGGAACGTCAAAATGCTTTTTGACAGAGCTGATAGAAAGGCACAGCTCCAAGCTGTGGAGTTGGTCACACCTCTCCAAGGGTGTATACGTGGCAGTGGTCATGACAGATGGCTGCTGGAAATGGTAACAAGAGGAAGACCTAGAAATCACAGTCAATGAGGCAAATGTAATCTACTTCTTTCTCATGCCTTACTCAACCTTTCTCTTTCTTCCAAGTGTTGGGAGCTCACAAAGATGATAAAGGAAAGAACTCCAGTTCTGTAACAAATTACACTGCTAACACAAAAAAGCTTTAAGTAAAGAGAAAATGAAAGGAGTTAATTACAGAGGGTGCGAGAAACTGCATCAGTACTTAAGTGTTCTGACCTTTTACTCACCATGAGTGTAAATGCATTTAATTGTGAAATGTTTTATCTGCATCTACCGTTTGCCTATTATTTGCTGTATAAGATATTATCTGTTGATATACAGCTCAGTGTTCACTCATCTGTTAATGAAAATTAATCCATGACTAAAATTTATAATCCTTAATAACCTCACGTTACAAATATTCTTAGGCTACTGTACAATTTGGCTATTGAAAATGGGTTAGTTTAAAGAAAATGTAAGTGAAAGGTCATTGTCCCTTGTCTGGTCTTGATAGACGTTATCTTACTAGAAGAAACGTTTATGCCCTCAGGCCAGAGGAGGATGCTGAGCATCCATGAGCAGGACCAGTCTCCCTGGACTTGCAAGAATCAGTACCTCTGTAGCCAGAGCTAAATTATGCCCCTCGGCTGTTGGATTGGTATGTGTGCTCGAGAGGCCATCTACACGTCTTTGTTTTACAGTTTCTACAACAGCTAGAAGAAAACATCAGGAGTGAAAGTGCATTAGTAAATTTGTCTAGGCAGGGATTTTCTAGCTTATTATTTCCTTGCGGAATGAAACCAATCATCCAGAAGGAAAACTAATCAAATTCAGCAAACGACTGAATCAGTTTGCATGAGATCTGTCTCTTTATGATAACCCTTGTTCAGCAGAGAAGTGTGGCCCAGAGGAGAGGTCTTCTGCTGGTTAGTCTCACTTTTCAAGTATGTAAGTGAGAATTTACGATGTTGTTTTTAAGTCTCAGCTAAATGGGAGATATCCTTGGGCTGAATTAGTGTTCTAATTTGCAGTGTGTGCAACTGCAACCTTGTACTGTATTTGGCTTCTGAAATACTTTACCCAAATATATGTAATACCATACACTACAGGTTCTTTTAATAGAGCCAAGTTCTTTCTGCCGCAAGTGAGAGTCCACTTATCTTGGAATATGACATTTTTGTTACTATTTAAATTAGAGTTCTTGAACATTAATTAGCACGTCTAGGGTATCAGCTGGTGAAATGTCTTTGGGAATTAGACTAGCACTGAGAAAATCACCCAAGCAGGAAACAAACATGTTGAAGAGGGGTGGTCTGCAGCCTGCTGAGGGAGGTATGCTTCATGCCTTCCTGCAACAATAATTCTGGAGCACCTGGTTAATTGGGCTGTGGAAAAGTACAGATAGGTTCTTTAGAGTTTAAACACAGTATCTTCTGCAAAGCTACCAATCTGTGCAGCATATTTGGAAAGTGAACGTGGGAGATAAAGCAGAGAGTGGGGAGGCTGGTTGTGGAGTTTTATATTTTGTTTTATTTCAAGAATAACAACAGTTATTTTCTTTGACACAGGTCCATGATTACCTTAGGAGCAAGTTGTGTTCTCTCTATGAAAATGACTGCATCTTTGACAAGTTTGAATGTGCATGGAATGGATCAGACAGGTAATCCATCCTTATGTCCATCACTGTCTTCATTTAGCTCCCATATGATGGGGAACAATCGAAGTGAAGTGTTACACATGGTTATTGTCCACATCAATTTACATTTACATCTTCACATATCAGTGTTCAGGTTGATAAAAGGTATTTGGATATTCGTGCAGTTGTGTCTCTGACCTCATTAGACATGACGTATACCTTGTTAATCTTGGCTCATGCCTTAGGGGGAAAAAAAACTTCAAATTCTGTCCGGTTTCACCAAAATCATAAGTAGGCTGCAAAAGTTAAAAAGAATGCTGCCAACTTGCACAGCCCCACCAACACACTAAGGAAGCTCGTGTGAGTCTGTATTTACACATGAGCTGCTTCAGAAATCCAGTTCATTTACTGGAAACAGGGAGCGAGGAAAGGCAATCACAGGCACCCACTGATTCTCCACAAACTGCTGCCAGCTTCCCACTGACATAAATGACAGTTTCTTCTGATACCTGCCCCCATCAGAGCAGTCCCTTTCCCTATGTGCTGAAGGAGTGGTCCTGGTTTTTATCTTGGACATAATATCTTGTTGAATATTTTCATAAGAAATAGTGGCACAAGTTGGAGAGTGCAAGCGAGGATGAAATGTGCTAATGCCATCATGTTAGCAAATGGTGGCAGTACTTTGGGGAGTAGGAATATTGTACAGGAAGAACTGAGCAGCCGAGAGGACTGGGATAATAAAAATGGATGAAATCCAAGAGTGTAATGCGAGGTGAGGATTTTAGTTAAAAGAAAACACAAACCTTCATCTTATCAGTTGAAACAACTCTACAGGGACATTCATACGCTAGGTGACTGCAGAAGGGATTAGCAGTCTACAAAATGCATGTGAAAGAGAGCACAGGAGCCAGTTTTGAATGGCGCACAGTGACTTCTGGCTTAGCAGAGCTAGAAGCCAAGAGGCAAAAGTTTGGCACTCGCTGAGAGCCTGGAACTGTGCCTTCAGCAAACTTAGCCTCTCATTTGGGAAAGAGAAAAACAGTCCATCTCATTGTATTTGAAGCAGACCTGCCCCCCCAGGACTGGGCAAGGACTATGAAACAGAGTGTGAGGCAGCTGTGAAAAAAGCAAATATGATCCTTCAATGGGCAAGACTGGGATATCCAGCAGAGAAAGGAGTAGTGGTGACATTATGTTAGGGTCTTATTCAAAGACCTTTGGACTGCAGTTACACGTTTCTTGTCCCTCATCTCCAAGGTGGATGAGCTAATCAGGCAAACGGACAGCTGCTCTAAAATGAGGAGAGGGCAGGAGTTTGGTTTTGATCAGCTTAGCAAAAGAAAAGCCAAGATTATACTTGCTTCTAGTAAGTATATCAAGGAGGTACACATAGGGAGGAAGAGGATCTAGCTAAGATAAATGTGACTGATAATGACACAATAGCAAATCAGTATTGAATGACAACAGGTAATTACAGCCTGGAAATCAGAGGTAGTTCATTCCTGTTCAGACAGTGACAGTGTGGAGCAGTCTTCCTGTCCTGAGCAGTGGAGATGTAAGAAGCCCAACTGTTTTGACGATGGTGCTCAGGGAATCTGTGAAAGCAGTTATTTGAGACATTGGTTAAAATGACAAGTGTCTGATCTTGAAAGTGCAGAAGAAGGTCTCTTCCAGTCCTGTGTTCCACAAATGGAGATAAAGTGTAATGCTGTACACTGTGCAAGGGGCATCTTCTCTTTGGAGTACTTTCCTTTGCTCAGTTCCTGTGCCTGCCTAAAGATTCTGTCTTTACTAAGAAATAAAACTTTTACCTTACCTGTATCGTTTATTATGCAAATGAAACTATATACTTCCATTATCTCTGTTGTCCAGGGTAATGTGTTTGCTGGCAAGGATTAACTCAGCATTGTATCCCCTGTGATAGAAACTACTGGCCATTTAAAATGATGTAGGTGGACCACACTGGGCAAAATCCTTCCCAGATAGCTGTGACTGCAACTTGGGCACGAGCTGTTGTGGAAATGGCTTTGATATAGTCAGAAAGTGGGAATGACCCACAGAAGTTTTAGGGGAAGATCCAGGTTTTGGAGCTTTTCTCTGAACCTCCCAAACCCATGCATGAATGGATGTTTTAGCAGAGGGTTGTCTCAGTAGACTGGGTGCTGCTTGAGTTTGGTTCTACTGGAAATACCAAAATAAAAGCCTTTCTTGGAAATATGGATGATGCTGGTCCCTGCCTAAATCTGGCACAGAAGAACAGTGCAATCAAATTGTTCAGCTATCGTGAAACTTTGACAAAGACTCAGGGCTTTTCAAGTCCTTTCAAACCGTTTTGCTTATCCTTGATGGGAATTGCCAGTGCATTGTACAGGATGCACAGCCACATGTTCCCAGGCCCAGAGTCTTTCTCCTGTAGTTGAATGAAACGCTGCCATCCTCATTAGTGCGGTAAGACCACTCTCTGGATAGTTGCCTGATAATAATAGAAATATTATTCAATATCAGGATTTAAAGTGAATGTAATATTTTCATTCCTACTTGACAGATCAGATAGATCAATGCAGTGAGTAATTATTAAGTGAGAACATTAGATTGTGGGGGCTTCATTTATCGTGCTGCCCAGACACCGGGGCGTTGTTAGTCGTGCACAATTACCAAATCCGTCACTAAACACAATACACTGCTCTTGATTGTAAGAAACTGTTGAGTAGAGTAGCTGGCAACATTTCACAAAAGATAAGGATTCTCTTTAATCTCATGGTTTCTTTTTAAGAGTCAAATGTATCAGCACCTATGTTCATTTTTTGATGAACATTCACTCTTCTGAGCTTCTTGCTTCTGTGTATGACAAGTATTGTATTGTTTTGCTACACACTACAAGGATTTTTTTTTTCGGTGGATCACAATTTAAATTATATTTGGGTACCAGTAACTCTTAAAGAACAGTTCATTTGAATAGTAAGGTCACTAAATTTGATCCTTTTGGTATCTATTTTTTTAAAAAGGACTACTGCTGAAGGTAAACAATGCCTACTAACAATGGTACTCTTCAGAGATGCTGCAATACAGTATTTATATTATTAATACGTATACATAACAGTAATAACTGCAGTTCTAAACATGTTACTTTTATCTTTTGCAGACTTCAAAGCTACCATGACAATTTAAAGTGACAGTATTGTTCAGTTAAAAATGAAAGCATATTTATTATTTAGGTAAAAATACTCCTTATTAATTTTTGTCATTACTAAGGAGTTAATGTAGGCTATGATAGAACCTGATGCTGAGGCTGTTTACAAAAAAAATCAATGTATGTGAGCTCTGATTAGAACGTGATTGATGCTCAGTTACTCCAATGAACAGGAACTAATGCGATCAGACAGAGCCGATCTCATTTGCTGAAGGGCACATTAATCACTATGTACTTTGGCAGCAACAGTGGTCAGGGGAGGGAGTCAAGCAGGGGTCTTACACTAACTCAACGAGATGAGCACATATTATCTGTCGTTGAGTATATTACACTAAAATCATGCCATCTTTATTGTATATACATCATTACATGACTATGTAGAATATGTGAGCTCTATTTATACACCGATTTAATTTAATTCTTCCATTTACTTCCAAAGTCAGGTCTTTTAATAATGACCCGCAAGACACTGTTTTCTTCTCACTGTCAACCATACCCATTTTGTTATTTCGGTTTTACCTCAAAGATTAGCACTTATGGAGCTGTTTGTGAGCTACAGGAGAAGCCAGTGAAAGAAAAAAAAATAGTGTAGTAATTCTACATGGTAGTAAGTGAATACCTTAATTACTGTTCTTTTTTTTTTAAGATTTTAAATGAATGGGTGTATGGGAACCCTTCCAGGGAGACTTCTGAATACCATCATGATAAGTGATATGCTGTAAGCAGATGAGTGCAGTCACATACAACTGTTCAATCAGTCCTTTCCTACCGAACTGTCATTCATCCCACTGAATGTCCGTCAGCCTTCACTCTAATCAGGCGGAATTGGCAGGTCCCAGTGGATGAGACGTTAACAGTCTCTTCCTGTCTGGCAGCACGCTCCATGCTGGAGAGCTCGAAGACATCATTTTGTTTTCAAGGCTCGGCATGTCAAATATTAGCTTGGAAGGACTTGAGGATCCCCTGTTCTTATTCCCAGTCTTATCCCAGACAGCTGCACCAGAGTGCCACAACCCTGAATCCGGTGTCTCGTACTTTCCCATCGCCATACTCCCCAGGAGGTTTAAAGAAGTTCCTTCTTTGTGATGGGGAGTCAGTTGCTTCACGCAGTGCAGAATAAAGGAAAATTTCCCAGTATGCCAACAGGCCCCCACTGTTTGCAACAGTGCTTCCTCCTTTCCCTTTGTCATAATAAATCTCATTTTTCATTCCCATGAAAAATGTTTGTGAAGAGTTTTCCTGGAGCCAATCCTTTCTTCTCATAAGGACAGCTTGTCACGAAACCAGATCTGGTGGGTCTTGCTTGTCAGTCCCAGGAGACTGCAGATGTGCTGTTCTGCACTGGCACACACACTAGTGAAATCTTGCAAATTTAGGGGCTCAAAATATAATCGGGGAGACAGTTTCAGGTCAAAGAAATGGTCCCTTTTCATGCTGGGTGCCTTGAGGGACTCCTTTGCAGAGATTTACAAGTCTGGAGGCAGGCTCTGGTGGAAGCTGCTCTGAGTCTCCTTCCCTCACACTTGCTTGGAGTCAATGTCCTGCCTCTCTTGCCGCAGGGAATGAAGTTCTGCTGCTACATTTTCAGTGAGGGGCAGGTTAACAGGGCTGGTTTAGTTTTTCTATCATCCTTAAGCCCGGCATACACTGGTTCTTGAAGCCTGCCCAGCCTTAGTCCTGTCATACCATCCCATGGCTTCCATAGGCTCTTGAGCAACAGCAGAGGGGGGAAACTACGCCATGAGCTGGATTTCTCCAGACAATAGAAAACTGCAGGTGAAGAAATATTTCTATGCATCTAGAAAGACTAATCTGGGCCAGAGTTAGCCCAAAAATTATTATGAAAGAGTCTTTAAAAAAAAACAACAACAAACCCAACACAAAACAATGTGAAGCAAGTACGGTTTGGTTTTTAAGCAAGCCTTAATTCCAGCTGATGTTCCCAGGGTTTCAGGGCAAGCCCAGACATCCAGGAAGGCAGCTGAACGGAGCAATTTTGATAAAAACTGTTGCATGCAAGGATGGCCGCAACATGGATGACATTTAAGAGCTCGACTAGCACTAAAGAAATCGGAACGAAATATGGGAAGAACAGATACGAGAAAGACAGACATATGCCAATTCTTAGTGACTGACATGTTTGATGAAATCTCAATGCCTAAAAAATATTGTGGAAGATCTCGTTGAAGTTTAGTACAAATGATGAAGTCCTATTCAGATGCCCTTGAGGTTGGTGAAGTAGGGAATTTGTTGACTTCAGAACAGAAGCAGAATTTTAGAGAGGGAAGCCATGTACTGAAGCATTTCATTTAATAAAGAGTCATTACCAAAACCGAAATATTGAGAGCCAGATGTTTTAAGGTATTAAGATGCTTAAAGATGCTGAAGCCATCAGTAGTCGTTAAGAGTGGTGCTGTAGACCCTCAAACTCTGGCCCTAAATTAAACATCAGTGGTGCAACTACTGGTTGTCACGTTCAGCCCAAAGGAGAAGGGCTTTCTCAAGGGCTGAGCAAGTTGGCTGTGAGAGTAAGCAAGACTGGAGGTAGTGGGAGATGGCAAAGAAAGGGTGAGCAGCGAGACCTCCAAAAGTAAAATGAAGAGATGAGAGGAAAAAATAAGGAACAGAGAAAGGGAAATGACAAAGTGAAGCAAAAGAGACAAGAGAGAGCAGGGAACAGAGGGTGAAGCTGGGGAGGACACTTCACTGGCAGGAGAGAGAAGCAGATACAGTGTTTTTTAAAAACTGTAGAGCAGGGTAGAGGGAAATGGAAAAAGAGATGGGGAGGAAGAAGAGGGGGAGGGAAAGGAAAACCTAACTGGAAAGTGTGGTAAAGACCAGAGTCAAGATTATGGGGGAAGAAAAAGAGAACAGAATGGCAACTAGGGAGGGAGTAAGAAGTCAATACAGTAGGATTGGACTGTACTGAGGGTTTCCCCTTCCCCTTTTACCTTCTGTAAGAATACATTTGTCCTTCTTGTAAAGAAAAAAAAAAAAGTCTTTGGGCCATAGTGACCCCACGTGAGGACTGAAGTTTGGCAGTGAGGTGCCTCAGACTGTGTCATTAACAAGCAAGAATGCGCCAGTGTCAGTGCAGGCTGCATGAATTAGTAGCATTTCGTGTTGTCGCTCAAAACATGCACCTCTGAAGAATTGTCAGAAACCCTCAGACCTTGCTTGGAGCAGCTCTAAAAGAGGGAGCACAGAGCACCCCCTGTGCTCTGCAGAGCAGCACCATGCAGAGAGGAAAACGTGTTCCCCTCGCCGGGCAGCACAGGAGGGTTAGCGTGGAGCTGTGTGAATGCAGATATGGGTGTTGGGGCCCTGCAGATATGAGGTGTTGCCTCTCCTTCCAGAGCACCGGCTAGGCTGCCAATGCCTGAAATGTAGGCAGTGGTAGCCATGTCGCTGCTGTTGGGGTTTTTTCCTGCTTTTTTGCCTTTTTTGCCTTTTTTTAAAATTATTTTTGTTTTAAATCATGCTGCCTGTAGCTGTGGTGGTTTGAGCTAGATAGAGTCTATCAGCAGCTTTACTCCAGCCTGAGCTATCAGTATGCTGCTCCTCAGGGTGCACTGGAGCATGTTCTGCATCCTAAATACCCCTGCACGGCTGAGATGACAGTACCTCTGACCATGTGTAGCACAACTTGTAAACCTGCTTTCTGCGTAAAATTAGGTGGTTAGGCAAAGCTCTTCCGGGCTGCTCCCTTACCCACCGTTGAATTAGTATGGGCTGTTTTGGGTGAGGGGCTTCGTTTGGTTTCTTGAACCAGCCTCACTTGCAAGGGTTTTGTGCAAGCACTCATCTCAACACTGCTGTACAGAGCAGGGTCTGGAAATACAGAACAGACTCTTCCTATACTCAGCTGCATTTTTTATTCTAATATATATATATATATATTTTTAAAATTCTCCTTATCGCATGCATTCCATTATCGTACACTGTATTTTCCTGAACGGGAATAAATTGCAGGCTTACATCTAGTTCTTGCTCTCTTTTATTGTTATTTTAAGCAGCAGGTAAGGTTATAATCCATCTGTGTTTGTGACCTTGAACAAGAATGGGCACTTTCTCATTTACATAATGCTATTTTTTACTGAGCCATTAAACTGCAGAAAAACAGGGCCAGCATGAAAAGTAGTCATCTACATATGTTAAAAAAAATAACTGCAGTAAATCCAACCGAAGAAAGCGGACTTTTAAAAATATGCGGGAGTTCAAGAAATTAAAAAGCAAATGGACTGTAAAGGCAGTTTAACTGCAAGTAAAACCTCCTAAAATAAGATTCTTGACAAACACCTCTCTGTGCATTTGGCGCACTGGTACTCTGCCTGCGTGAAAACTGCTCCCCTGACGGTTCCTGCCTTCATCTGGAGGGATGCTCCTCATGCCCCTGGGAACCACAGCTCTCCAGCCCATGGCTCAGGGTGCCCCAGCGTTTCAAAACTTTGCCTGGGGGGAAAAAACCCACAGTACTGTGCTGGGCTGTTTGCATCACAAATTGCGTATGCTAGCGCTGAGATATGAAATAACCTCGACTTTTTCATGTTGTGAATAACCATTACAGCAGGAGCCGTAATGACAAGACACGGTGATTTGGAAGGAGTGAAACATTAGATTTACTACTGTTGATTCAATTTCTGAAATGGGCACTAATCTTGATCAGTAGGCTTTCTGCAGCTTCTGGGATACATTTTATCAAGCTGTCACACTGACTCTTTTGGTTTTTTACCTCATGAGATTGTTAACTTGTGCCTTACTGAGCAGGATTGTCTTTGCAGGTGGGGAAGGTAAGGGAACCCTCACTGCAGACAACCCAAGGGCAGGTACTGCTTCTGCGCTCTCCCGAGCAGAGAGGCAGCTCCCCGCCAGGGCTGGCTGCAGCTACGTACGGACAAGGGCCTCTGTTGCCCATCCCTGAACTCAGCAGCAGAGCAGCCAGGGGTGTGCTGCCTGCAGACCTCAGGAAAGCAGCCTCCCGGCAGGGCGAAGGCTGTACGTGAGCTGGTGCTGAGGGCAGCGTACGCTGTGTCTCTGTGCTACGCCTGTCTGATTTGCAGCAGTTCCCTTCAGCACTTCAGGAGCTGCAAAAAGCTCAGTGTGGAATCAGCTGTCATCCAACTCCAGTATGCCATCAGCAAACGTGGAAGCAGGATGGAGCTGGCAGTCCTGCTAGTGATTCACAGCGTACAAATCCAGCTCACCCGCTCTACTTACCCTGCAGTGGCTCTGAAGCGAGCAGAGCTGCTGTCAGTCAGTAGCTGTAGTGCAAAAGCAGTTAGCTGCACAGCTCCCATTTGTGCGTTTTTCAGTATATTATTCATTTATATTACAGTAGCTCCTAATGGCCCCAAATGAGATCAAGGCAGCACTGGCTGGAGGCTGTGCATATAGCGTAAGACAGCTCCTGAATCCAGGAGCGTCTAATCTAATCAGCTAGTGAGTGTACGACAGAGAGTGTATTTTATGCCTTATTCTCCTACAGCTGCATATGCCATGGTCTCCTGGCCAGTATGCTGCTCAACACAGATTCCTCCAAAGTGGGAAACAACAGCAAAGTGTTAAAGCAACATACCTGTCATTTGAGAAGGAGGTTAGTTTATTCTATGCGAAGCATGGGAAGTATGCTCTGTTGGGCTGTACCAGAAAGGCAGATAGTTCCTGATTGCCTGAGTCTTAGAACTGTACAGCTTTTCCTGTGGAGACTTGGCTGTTCAGGGGGGATTCCCCTTCCAGAATGGAAATTCAGAAAAACACCCTGTTTGGGGCTGAGACAGGAGAGTAGAGCGTGGCCCTGGCTTCAGATATGGAAGAAGTTCACAGGGGATGAGCTTTCGAACAAGGCGCTGAAATCCATGATTATGCTAATCCAATAACCCGAGGGCCACGGATGAAATCCTGAATTCATTAAAGTTAGTGACAAAATATCCTCCCCTAGGGACTGGGGGAATGAAGCAACTGGCAATCCATTATTTCAAACTACAAGCTGATTAATGGGGTAATTTTTATACAGATTGAGGTATGTTTTCTGTCTCTTTCTCCCAGACCCAGAAATATATCCTGACTTGAAGCTTCATTCAAACTTCATACAAGAGATGACAGAATCCTCTTTCTCAATGTCTTTATTTTTAAGAAGCATTGTAGATACAAATTTTAATGGTGTCTAGACTTGCAAGGTTTATGGCTTCACAAGGGAAAAGGGTTTATTCTGGAAAGAATTTACTTGTGCAAATTCAGTGTGATTTTTCAGAACCTTTCGAAACACCTTTCTTCAAAAATACTCATTAAAATATATAATTATGTACTAAATCTTACTGTTGTATCAAAAGGTTTGAAATACTTGGAAATTTTTTTTAAAGACTGTTTCTGGAATCATGGTAAATCTCAGCTGTCAGAAAAGGTAAGGCTCTGGAGAAAGAAAAAAACCCTGAAATATATGATCCTTAAATGCTCATAAAAAGCTGGAGGGTAATTAAAAATAACTTACTAAAGCATATTGCTTTTATTGTATTGTGAAGTCTGTCTCATGATGTCAGGATCCTGACATTTGTGCATGCTTCAGGATGCGAGTTTTGGGGTAACAAATTTTCATTGAGTACTCTAATAGGGAAGGGGAAGACATTGGTAGAAGAAGACTACTCACTCTAGGCAGTACTGGGAAAAATCCTGTTTTGTATTCTTTCCCAGCTGAAACCAGAAGATGTCTAATCCCAAGGTTAAAGCTCAGCTGTCCTGATCCAGTCATGTTAGCAGACCTCCCACAAGCTGCTGTTTAATTTTCTCTTTGTTTTTTCTCTCTCTCTCTCTCTCTCTCTCCAGTGTGATAATGACAGGTGCATATAACAACTTTTTCCGAATGTTTGACCGAAATACCAAGCGGGATGTTACCTTGGAGGCATCCCGAGAGAGCAGTAAACCACGAGCTATTCTTAAGCCCCGGAGAGTCTGCGTCGGAGGCAAACGGAGGAAAGATGACATCAGTGTTGACAGTTTGGACTTTACTAAGAAGATCTTGCACACAGCGTGGCACCCAACTGAGAACATCATTGCTATAGCAGCGACAAACAATCTGTACATATTTCAGGATAAAGTGAACTCAGAAATGCACTAGATTTATCAATATCTCTCTATATTTACAAACCAGCCTCTTGAGAGGTGTAGAAGGATGTGACCTTCACAAAAATTGTGGCTTCTGTGGTGGGATTTGTAGGTTGCATCCTTTCATCCCTCAGCCTGTATCATTATTGGTGGCAAGCCAACTATTTTCCATCACTGCAACTGTATGAGTAAAAGGCACGACTGCAAATCCAGTACTGTGGTCTGTATTGGTTCCTTTAAACAAACAGGGGTATTTATTCACTTTGGGAGCGTTCCTGAGGAGGGCTGAGACTCCTCAGCTCCCGTCAGTCCTTTCGAGGGTCTCAGTGGTTCACAGGACCACGCTGTTCTGGTGCACTGCCTGCTTTTGCAGTCCACAGCATTTACCACATTGTTAGAGCTTTTTGCCTCAATCTCTTGATTATTGTTTTTTCAGTAACATTTTCCTGTCTTTCAACTAAGCCAAGCCTCTTTGAATGGATAGCCACATCCCTTTAGAGCACGTGGCACGTTGGAGGGGCCTCATGACAATTATAACTGGAAGCAGAATCCCTGCTGGTGAAAAGCTGCCCTGTCTCACCTGTCCCATTCCCTTCTTTACAACACCCTCCTATTTATTTCTTTGTTCACATTACTAAGTGCTTCAGCTTCCCGAGTGAGTAAGTGACAGACTGGTACGGTTACTCAAGCCAGCTTATTTTAAGAAGTTCATTCGCCATAGATCTCTCTGCTCTGTTTAAAACAATAACTAGTATCTTCATCACATGGAGGACTATTAAAAAACTTGGTATTGCCACTCCAGAGGGACTGGCTGGTCAGACACAGCCTGGCAGTTAACAGACAAACCCGTCCTACCGCTTGGGGGTTGGAGTTCTGGCAGCCTGGGCTAGAAGTGCTGTCCTTGAAGGCAATGAGCGACTTCAGTGGGAACGAAGTTACAGCACTGCTAGACACTTCAGAAAGTCCCTCGTTTGTTTACTGCGCTGTGGTTATTTTAATCCTGGCCTTTGGGGAATACAGGCAATGCCACGCTATCTGTAACTGTAAAAGAATGGTACTGGGAGATGTGGCACTGCTCAGTGAAGTTTAATGGTTGAAAATGAGCAACAAAATTATTCCTGGAGAAATATTAAAAATCAAAACCTCCAAACCAAACAAAAGCTTCTTCCACATAAATACCTTTAGATCTGTCTCTGTTTCCAAATGAATAGTGATGTAAATGGAAAATGAAAGTACACGCAATTGGTGTACCACATGCAGGAATTACACGGGAATGGTGCAGCGGGCAGGGAGTCCTCTTAATCCAGGAAAATAAAGTTCTCCTGCATCCCTAATAGCTCTGGCAGGAAAATTAATATCCCAAAGGATTTCTCCTCAAACCATGAGCACAACTTAGATGACCTGTTAATCTGCCCATATTAAAACTCCTCAGAAAAAATAAAAGTCTTTAAGCCATTATGCACTGATTTCTTGGTAAGTGGAGAAGGTACTGACGAAGGGATCTGCATGCTTTTATATTTTGGTTTGGGGGAAAGACTGGGTGAAAATCTGCTTACAAGAACTAAAAAAACAAAGTCTACAGCTTTTGTATGACATCTTAACACAACACATGAAATCTCTATGAAGTTTTCTAGCTCAATGCTGTATATTTTGTGTGTAGAAGCACAAACGCATGTGCATCAGTTTCCAGCCACGCTAAACACATACGGTATGAAACGTGTAAGTTAATTTTAAAGGGAATGAGGAATTTTTGTTTATAAAACACTGTTATGCTGTAGCAGGCATGGACAGTATATGTACATATTTATTCTAATGAAATTTCACAAAATTGCTTTTTTTTTTTTCCTTGTAAAAAGGTTTAAGAATGTGGTAAATTGTATAGAAAGCTTGTTAATGCCAAACTACTGCTTCAAGGGTGTCATACAATTTCTTTGACTTTTGGCCTCCTCCATTAACCTTTGCAGCTCAAAAAAAAATGCTATCAGCTCATATTGGCATCTACAGCTAGAAGTACTGTAAAACATATATTTAGCTTTTAACATCCTCAAGTAAGATTCTATAGATAACTTATTATAAAGCAGATCTTAATACAACAATTTTTTGTTTTTAATTTGAAGTACCTTACTCTGTTACAGCTTTGGGTACCAAAAAGAACATGTTAAAATTAAATAAAGAAATATATCTTTGGAGCTTTATAAAACTAATGAAATACCCAACCAAAATACCATGAAGTGATTATAGAGGAAATAAATAGAAACCTTTCAAAGACAGACCAGTATTCCATTCCTGTCTTTGACATCACTACTACAGATTGGTTTCCTGGTTTCTTGAATGTATGGAAAGTTAACATCGTCATTGTGAACGTTTCCAACTTTCTTTCTCTTTTTAGTTTGAGCTTTCAGTGGTGTAGAGTAAGTGATGGTAAAGTTGGTAAAGCTGATTGTTTTGAAAGCTGTTGTTCATGGCTGCATTCTTTGTGTTGCACAAATTAGCTAACTGTTGTTGAATAAAAATATAAATATGTTAATACCAGCTTTTTCAATAAAACTACAACCAAAAAGGCACAAATAGATGACTTCAAGGCACAGCTTATTTTTAAGCTAGACGTGAAAGAGTTGGTTAGCTCCTTTTACAAAGGAGGAGGAGTCACAGGGATCAGGACTCACAGGACAAGCGACTACGTGAACATCAAGTCTTGTGGAAGGTAGAGAAGGAGACACAGTGCTGTGAGTGGGCCTGACTTGGGGCTTTCGGGTGATGAGAGTGTGCGCAGACCGTTACAGCAGAGCTGGAGATACGCTTTTGGCTCACACCTTAGACCAGCTTTTTCCTCTGCTCATAGCCCAAGACAGACTTTAGGAGATTTGAGTCTGAGTCTCCTACAGATGGAATAAGAGACGTGCACAATGTGAAGGGACACACACAACCACAGGGTAAAAAAATGGCATTAGTGTCATCGCTGGCCAGGCTGGAGGCCTTCCAGCGCAGCGGACCGTGAGGGTATGTCTGGGATGTGTCCAGCCCCGGCCTCCCAAATGAGACAGACGTTGGCCCAGGTGACAAACCAGAGGGTTACCCAGCAGAGCAGCATCCCTCTTCACCCCCACCGCTCTCTTTCTACCTCTACCCCAGGGGAAAATAAAAAAAAAAAAAAAAGAAGAAAAAAGGGAAAAAAAAAAGCTGGCTTGGCATACACACGTAAAGCTAGGACAGTGTTCACTTCCCAGTCCAAACTGATGCCTGGCTCTCCCCAGTCATCATCATGCTTGCCCCAGACCTTGGGCTCTTCTTTGGAAGCTCAGTCTAAGGCAGCTAACCCTGCCTGCCTGTTCTGCACAGCCCCCGGGGTGTGAGAGACCGCCTGGGCATCAGCACACACGGGTGAGACACCGAGAGGCTAAGTCCTCCTTCTGCATGCAGACCAGAATAAATTTGCCTCAGCTGTTAGATTAGGCAGTGTGTTGCTTTGCACAGCTCTCCCAGAGCTTACAGCTAATTTTTTCCCCCCTTTTTGGGAAGACACAGTCAATCCCACTCATTTAGATGGACAAATATGACTAGGCACTGAAGAGCAAAATCTCAGCTGAAAATCAACACATCAAGCAATACACTATTTACCTTTCCAGTTTCCCTTTTCATCCCTAAATACCCAGCAGGAGCAGGAGCCAGATGGCTAACTCTCATGCTTTTGAAATTTTCACACGCATACTTAGTAGCCACATATGGCAATTTAACCCTTTATTGTCTGGGGGGGGGGGGGGTTTTGGGGGGACCCCCCCACTTTTCCTTTTTCCGCCCCCGGAAGG